TTTTCACAATCTCTAAGAGTGGTGCGTTCATAAAATTACAATGTCTCGAGAAATTAGAATAGCGGAATGAACTGGCCATTTATTTGAGGAAATAAAGCATTAATGACTTGCAAATGGAAGGCTATAACTACAAAAACCTTCTCCTGTTTAACTTTTTTGAGACCAGAAAACAACATTTAAGTTAGAAATTAAAACTTTGTAAGTATTTAGATTTTAAGACATTTTATTATAATAAACATTTATTATAGCTATGAAAAATTTTATAGTGAAATTAAATTGCTACAAATCTTTTTAGTAGAAACATAATTTTTGACGTGTTTTATAGAGGAAGTATTTTTCTCGGTGTTTATTTTGTTGAAACATAACAGAAGTAAAATTTCTAATTATAACTTTTTCTTGTTTTGTAAAGGTGTCTTTTATAAAAGAGCTCAGTTGATATAAAGGATGCATTGTCTGTTGTAAGGATTTTTTTAATCCAATTTTCTTCCGCCTCTTACAGGCCCACCAAGGGGATGAAGCCTGATGAAATTAGAGACCTTTTGTTGTTTTCTCATTGTCTTTATAGATCCTTTGTTGCCTTTTAGCTACAAATGCATTCTGGATAATAAGGTAATATAATTTGCAGAGACTCACGTCAAAAGATGGGCAGGACAATGCGTGGAGAGAGAAAAATCCGTTTGGTTTATACACATCTTATATTTGAAAAAAGATCACGAGAATGAATTTAGAGAATTCCCTACTCGTTTTCAGTTGATTACCACGTTATAATGTGCAATTACAACTTCCTGCACCTATAGAATTAACTAATCATTATGTTACTATCCGAAAATTAGTTTTACATTCTTCTGTTAATATTTATTTCGCTGAAATCAATCAACATACGCATGCAGTACGTTACATTTTTAAAAAGTAAAGATTCCATAAATTTTCTCCACAATGTAGTTCTATTGTAGCACTCACATGATTATAACCGTATCTTCGAAAGTGCAGTTTTTCCTATAAAACTTTTCTCAAGTACCGTAACCGGACTGTTGGTTGACTTCACAAAGAATAATGTGCCCGGGTTTCTTTTGACATGTTTTTGTCTCTGCTTTCCCCATCTATTTTAGATCGTTGTTATGAGGCCAATGGCTGGTAAAGAAACCTATGATTTTCCTCAAATATTGTCTTCGTAGAGACAGGAATTCCTTCACTTTCCTTTTTGGGAGATTTACGGATTGCCTGATACTTGGTGCTTTTGTCCAGTGGTTGAGTTTTTCATTCTCGACATTGTTCTATCTTCACCTTTAGCATACTCTCCGGTGTGCGTATACGTCGTTTCGGTTCGAGGGGTGACAGGGCTGCTCCTTTTTTCGGCTAGTTGTACAGCCTGTTTCTTTCCTTTTTCATCGCTATACTAAAGGTTTATTATAATAAAATGTCTTAAAATATAAATATAAAGTTTTAATTTTTAACTTTAAATGTTGTTTTCTGGTCTCAAAAAAAGTTAAACAGGAGAGGGTTTTTATAGTTATAGCCTTCCATTTGCAAGTCATTAATGCTTTATTTCCTCAAATAAATGGCCAGTTCACTCCGCTATACTAATTTCTTGAAACATTGTAGTTTTATGATCGCACCACTCTTAGAGATTGTGAAACAAATTTCATTCATGTCCTGGAACCCTCCTTGAAAATACTTTGTCGTGTCTTCCTAGGGCTAACAGGCAATTTTGGCATTTACTAGCTTGAAGCAAAAACCAACTTTAGTGCATTTGTTTAGTGCAAAAGTATGTAAATATGAGCGTCTTTCATATTTTTCTTTATTAATTCTTTCAACTTTATTAATTGACATGGACCTTGGAAGATTGTTGGGACCAGTCCAAAGTGTTTTGCTAGGATGTAATTTGGATCTTTTTACACCTCCAACCTCTCCCCTTTCCATCTTTGATCCATCCGTGTACCATATTAGTACTTTCTGAAATTTTGGGTTGCGTTTCTTCTAAAGATCTGTTATTTATAACCACTTGAATTTATCTATCAATGTTGATATTTCCTCTTGTTTTGTCATCTGTAACTATAGCCATCTCATTACTTTTAATTCTTTAATTTTAATTCTCTAGAATTTTATGTTTTTGCTTAAATCTGGTTTTATTTATTTCTGTGTCACAAGTTGGTGGGTTAATAATTAGGTCGATACCGATCATTCTGGTCTGCCTATCCTTGTTGTGTTTTTCTGTTTGGTATGTTTCGGCATTTCGCCATCTTCAGCGTTATTTCTGTGTGATTTGTTTTTGTGAAATCAAATCTTAGTTATAAAGTATCTTTGTACATTAAGTTTGGTTGTGTTAAATAATAATTTTTTATTATTCGGGTCGATCTTTGTAATGGAAGATTTTTTCCGTACGACGTGAAAAACACGTTTTTCTAATTTCACTACATAAAAGGCAAACCCATGAAAAATGAAATAATTTGTTTTTTGAATTATTACATACGATTACATAACGTACTTGTATTTTTAAAATATCTATAATTTGGTTTTATTATTTATCCTTTACATTTTATTATTCATCTGACATCATTCTTCGGCAAAGTCTATCGCATACTAAAAATTTCTTTTTTCTTAAAATAAAATGAAATTCTCTATGCATTGGAAAATAATATAGTGTCTTTGATTGTAATATTGTGTATTTAACATCTTCACAAAAATGTTTCTTCGTCAGATTTAAATCATCCTCCCAGGCCTGTGCATGATGATAGTTGCTTGAATTGAATTAATAAATTATTTTATGGATTGATTAAGTTTGTAAATTAATGTGATTAAGAATAGTGATTAATAATTAATATTTATAAATTATTTTTAATTATACGTTTTGCTAGAATTTTTGATAAATATTATCAGGGATAGAAAGAATTTTAATTACACGATTAAAATGTAATTTCCCAGTTTAAAAGTTTAAAAGATAATTTTATTTCACAAGGAAGGGGTGTGAAGTATTGTATGCTGTACGATCTATATAAATATTAAACAGGCATCTATAGTTTTTGAACGTTTATGAAAGTTAAAAGTCGAAACAAGACAACAAGAACAAGACCGGTTTCTCTCGTTAATTGCGATCTGCGGAGTCATAAATTGCTAGAGTTCCTTGTTACAACTTTAACATGGATTATTTATATTATTTGTTGTTTTATACAAACACCATTAAAAGTTGGAAGTAAGACCACTTAGCCGTGACGGACCCTCTATTTCATAGAACTGGGGCAGGGGCGCTTTTATATATACGCCGGTGAAGGGGGAGGCAGCGTCTAAATATTGCTTCCTGAAAAGGGAGTGTCAGAGGTCTGCTGCCCTAATGCCTCTGTAGCAGGCAATGTAGTTGACGAGCTAACTTCAGCCATATCTTTTTACTATCGACCTGTCGTTAAAAGCTGAACGATGGCACCCAATATGAAAAACAATACAAGCAGGTACATAATTAAACAGCATTTATGTCTTGTGAAATGAAACACGAAATGTGCCCCAAAACCTGAATAAACAAGCAACAAACTTTTTAGATCCTATATTTTTAAAGTTTTTGAAAAAATGGTATTTTTTCGACTTCTAACGCTGGAAATATGATTTTTTCTACTTTTTGCGGACGGAAAGAAACCAAGGGCGAAAAATGTATTTTGATAATTAGATTATACACGGGGTAAGCGTGAATGTGTTTGTAGTACAAGAGTGTCGATGGCGGAATACCCGGTACTTCATTGATCCTCAATTAGACAAGTACGTTTCTGTCAACATGATTGAGAGATGAGTGAATATGCATAAAAACTGATTGCGTTGGAGTGGAATTTTCGTGCTGTGGACTGCCCTTGAGCATAATTTCGTCTAGGTATGACCCCGGACCACCAAAACACTGGAGTGAGTGATTCTCCCCTTGAGTAAATGTTTCGATTCTGAACGTATGCAATCAATAAAAGAATCAATCCATCAAGAAAATTTGAGATCATTATATATCCTTGGAGCACTTAGACAGGTCGAGGTGCAGAAGGTCTTCTGGCCGCCTCTTTTATCCCTAGGTATGGTTGATTTCGTTAAAACATCCAAAAATGTGAAAAATACAAGTATTAATTAATCGAACAATGTTTGGGGGAATTATTTTTGTGGAATGAAGCATTAATGAAATTATTTTAAATTATTTTTTAATTTGTTAAAAAACCTTTTTCGAGCTATGGTCCATCTCTTCCTCACTAAATTTGTCTGTAAAGTTGATTTTTGTTTGTTTGTGTATAAAAACATATATTCACAATAATTTCAAGTTTGTATAAAATTTCATTCACTCTACTTTACGACTAATTTGGAACATGTACCCACCTCGAAGAATGAGTATTTTAAGGTGATATTGTGATGCTTGAAGAATAATTTATTAGCGTGAATTATGGCCCGTTCTGAATGGGCATTCTGAGGTAAGAGCGTGAAGTCTGAAAGTAATTTATTTGTGCGAGTGCTAGCCTATCCCGAGAAATATCTAATATTCTGGGTTGAGAGTGAAAGTAATTTATTAGCCTGAATGCGGTACCACCCGTAGGAATATCGAGTGCTCTGATGTGGTACTGTATTTTTCATACAGCACTGGAATTGCCTTTCCGTCTGTGTTAGCTATTCAACAGGACATAGCATAGGGATTAATGAACGCAATATCCGAGTTTTCGAGTTCGTTTTACGTAAAAATCTTAATGTGCTATTTATTTGTATGTATAAGGGTCATTATGTTTTGTAACATTTGAGGTAATAAAGAGAGGTAGGAAGTAAAGAAAACAGGATACAATATGAGAGGCGATGAGAGAAAGATAGGTGAAAGCAAAAAAAATTGTTTACGTTTTATGTGCTGAAAGCCTGCGATGACCACTAGATATTGTATTTGTCGACTCATCAATTATATATGATTGTAATATTGACTCAAGAAATTGGCTACACTTAACGTACAGTGTTTAATATTAAAAAGTCATCTGTTTTACCAATATTTTGAACGAGTAATAATTGTTTTATTTGTGGAAAAATGTATGGAGGCGTAAGCATACCGTTTAGTTACATCCTCGCAGTGGAAGTTGCAAACATTACTCAAGGTTGTACAGGAATCGCGATTAATTCGTACAAGGCGATGACAGCGCAAAACTGCATTGTGAACTACGCCACAGATAGCTTCTACAGTCCCGAGACAATCAAATTGTGCTCGAACGACACCACATGCCGACCCGTGACGAAGACGTACCTTCACCCGAACTCTAGAAAAACACCTTTAATCATGTGTATCCTTCAAACGGAGAGTAAACTACCCTCTTTCATTGGCTTTCTCGGGGGTTTTCTTGAGACAAGATGCGATATTCACACGTATGGCAAGTCTGAAAGCGGGAAGAGAGAAAGAAAATCATTAATATTGGATCCGGTCTCGTTGTGTTACACGGAAGACAAATCATACGAGTGCGTTAAATTAGCCAAAAATTCGAATTTGTGCAGTACCGACATCGGCGGCGGGATCATATGCGACGGCAGTCTGGTCGGTATTCTCGTAAAGACAACGCCAGAAAAAGAATGCGACGCAGCTATAAACGAACAAATGAAAGGACTGTTTTCAAAACTAACAGCATCAAGAAGTTGGATTGAAATAACAGCTCAAGTATACGTAAACAGAGGTGTGGAATTGACCAACCCAAGTTCACAAATTCTCTGGTGTTTCTTATATTTGATTCTGTTTGCTTCTTTGTTTTAAATTTCAGTTTTGATATGCCAGTACTGTCAATTCAATATTTTCGACGGAAGACTGTTTTGGTAGTGGATACAAAACGCTAATGTGTATACATTTTTTTTTTTGTGCATTCATTTATATCTAAAACTGTATTTGTATTATATACAACCAGTGGATTGGATTTTATTTTGACATATGGCATTAATCTGCGTTAAAAAGGAAACTATTATTCCTTTTAGATTTCTACCTGAAATTAGGGGCATGGAGTAATTGTAGTTGTCAGATCTTGCAGCTTACTGTGAAAACGTTTGCAATAGTTTTTAAACCAACAAAACACAGTTGATATTTCAAAATATCATGTCTAGGTTATATAAGAAGGGGCAGAAACCATTAGTTTTAAGAATATTTTCGCGATCTGTAAACTTGGCACCCTTACATCCATATAAGTTTGAGTAGGTATATGTACGTTGAAAGTGTTGATTTCAATAAGTGGTTGTAGTAGTGAGGAACGGTCAAGATTCCAGCAAAAAAAACCACCTTTATTAATTTAATTGCCTTCATTCGGGTCATCTTCAATATTGACATGCGATACCAGAAAATATTCGAAAACAGAAAAAATGTTCGATACTTCGCAAGTATCGACAGAAATTATTCGATACTAACGAGTACTTACTCATATGAGTACTTAGTCGTTCCTTCATAAATCATCAACTTACTATCGACTTGTGGGTAAAATACGCTCATGCATTAAAATAAACAAAAATTTGCAATTTTTTTTTCATACAGTGGGTACGTAGGTAAGAACACGGGAAAGCTGTCAACACATTTCAACAAAATTGATATTCCAGTTTTATCGTTATCGAGTTTTGAGAAAATGTTTGAAAAGATTAGACGTATTCCCGCAGTTTCTAAGATTCAGTTTTCTTAGTAAAATAACCTCATGCCTTAATTTTCGGAGGAGACAAGATTAGGTATCTACCTATGAGAAGGAAGGGGAACACTTTTTAGGTACCGAAGACACACATTTTATAAAAATTTACTGAAATTAAAAGTGCGAGGTGCTACGCGGGAAAGAATTATGATTATTATTGTAAGAAATCTCGATTAACTTTGTTGACACATGCTGCTAGTAGGCGCTCTTAACAGTAACTCGAAGGGAAAATAACAATTCAATATTACTTGAATACTCGATGAAAAATCTCTGAGTATTTTTACCGATACAACAAAAAGTACTCGATACAGTACTTTTATCGAATGACAATATTGTATGTATTGACAAGTACTCGGTTTCGAAAGGAAATATTCCATACTTTACTCATATCGATTGGTAACGCACGTCACTAATCTTCAAGGCCTGTGTAAATACACACATATGTTGATTTTGAAATTAGTGAACAAATTATAAAAACAAATTTAAACAGTTATGCTAATATGAAGATGAATTTTAGTGTAATGAAAGTATTCATACTGGCATAAATTGTAGCGTTATACCTCTAGTGTCATGTTTTTTAAATGTGTACGTGGTGAATTTGTATCCTGCTGTGTTTTTATAAGATAAGACAAGGCGTGGAAGGCGGTATAGATTGGAACTTTTCTTTGAAAGTGGGCGGCTTTTTTTACTCAAAGGGAGTCGTGAATGAGGATTGTGGAATTCGTTTTTTAATTCGGGGTTTTATTCAAAGGGTACTGTTACTAATATTAGAAATGAAGTTGATTATATACGATTACGAAAAGCAGAACGTTAAAAAAATTTAAAATAATTTTATTTGTCTTACGAAGTTAGCGTAGCTACAGCTGAGTTTCCACGTGTCTGTTCTGTAATTAATGCTGTGTGCGTCTCTATTGATGTAAACCATTTATAAAAAGTTTCGTTTCTGTTTGTTTTGTTCAGTGTTTAGTTTTTATTTTGTTGGAAACAAAGTCGTGTGGTTTGCAAAATGATGGGTGACCAGTGCTGTCGGGTTAGGTTTCGGTTTTATACAATTATAGGTGTTTTTTCCGTATATATGTGTAGCGGGACAATTTAAGCAATTAATTTTGTAAATTACGTCTGATTTGTTGCTACTGTTGTTAGATTTTTAACTTTGAAGGAAAGAGTGTGTACAGTTTTGTGGTTATTAAAGATCATTTTGATGTTGTCTGTAGAAAGAAATCTACTCAACGTGTGAGATAGTGAATGAACGGAATTGAAATATATATTGTTCATCTGTTTGAGATTGGGTTGATGTATTGTTGGCTTTGTAGGATGTTTGGTTTAGTGTTGCGTTGTAATTGTGAATACTTACAGGCATAACACTACACTTTATGTGAGTAAGAATACTTCAATTAAACTAAAATCCATTTCATATTAACATAATCGTTAACATTGCTTTGTATAATTTTTTACACAAATTGCACAATCAACAGATGTTTGCACTTTAGCCAGGTAATACAAATGACTCGAATAATGATGGAAACACTGGCAATTGAATTAAAAAAGGTGTTTTATTAACCTCTTCTCACTGCCTGAAACACTTATTGAATCACCGGTCGCTAAGCAACACACATTTCAACACGAGTTACCTTCAATGGTAATTTTTATTGTCGATTCAATAGGTGGTAAAGCGTTTTAAATGTTTTGTTAGTGTCTATTTTTTTTAGAGTGTCTGGATTCTAAGTTAGACTTCTATCGAATGTAAGTTCTAAATAGATAACTTTGTCGGATAGGGACAATGTTTGTTGTGTAACTATCTACTAGTAGGACAACTCTCACGGCAGTGTTGAAAGGTAGTTTTGTAACTTTGAGGGATTAAACTTTATTTTCCAAAGATCGCTCCATTCTTCAATTGTTGACAAATGGTTTTGAACATAAGGGAAGCGTTTGAAGAAGAAAGGTGACTTGTTAATACGGTGTCATATACCTAATGGCAGTTGGTGCATTCTGATTTGTAGGCATCTCAGAACTAACGACTGTATACAGCGGCGGAGTATGGACTCCTGTTGCCCATCTGCAAGCTCTGCTTTCATCTCATCTCTGGTTTCTAGTATTCTTTTATTATCTGGTATTGTGGGACGATTTTTAATAACCACTTAGTTCACATATGGTTGACTCACCTGATTGAGCAGCTGTTTAATTTTATCAGACATGAATTGGTTTCGTTTATAAATAAAAAACACGTCCAAAATATGGAGTTTTAAACAAGAAAGTCTAAAATTCTCTACAGTTCTTCAATGTAAGTGCTCAAAGTTTATTAATTTTCGATTATGCCTAGTTAACAACAGATGCACTCATGAGTTTGTGAGAGCATTCTTTCATCATTATCAAACAGTCGATTGTTATATGCTTATGTAACAGAAGAGAGACATAAAAACGACATTGATTTAGTGATTGCAGAGACTGCAGAACAACAAATTACAGCTCATGAGCATATTAGACGTTATTTAGATATAAACATATGGATTATATCACTTTATTACACTGCAATTTTAACATCTCAAGAAAGAAATTTCAACCTACAGAATCGAATATATGAAACACCACAGAATTCGTGACCTTGTTTTTGTCGACGCAGCACCTCCTCTCATGTATACTAGAGCTGTTATTTCTATCTAGGTTTTTGATCCTGTTAGTTTTGAAAACAGTGCTTCCATTGGTTCATTTATAGGAGAATCGCATTCTTTCACCGGCGTTGTCTTCACGAGAATCCCGGCCAAATAATTATTGCACATGATTCCGCCGCCGATGTCGCTACTGCACAAGTGCTCCTTTTGGTCTAATCGAACGCAGCTGCAAGTTTTCTCATTAGTTTGGCAAAACCAGACCGGATCTAAGGTTAATGATTGTTTTTTGATTTTCCCGCTGGATGTCTTGCCGAAAGTTTGAATCTCGCATGTTGGACCGACAGGGCCACCGAGTAAATCAATATAATTGGGTAGCGTATTCTCCGTTTTGATGATGCACAGGACTGCGTTGTGTTTTTTTGAATCTGGATGGTGGTACTTTTTCGAAGCGATTTGGCATGTATCCTCACTTGGGCACAACTGGATTTTGTCTTCACTGTAGAAGCCCTCAGTGGTGGGGTCGACAATACAGTCTGCGTCGTCATCGCCATGAACGAAGTAACGCGATCCCCGTACAACTTTCTGTTATGTTCAAAATTTCCACTGCAAGGATGTAACTAAAATATGTGGTTACGCCGCCGTACATTGTTTCCTAAACCCAAAAAATTTGGAAACGAGAAATTAAGGAAACTGGATAAAATAGAATATGAATAATATAAAATACAAAAAAAGTACAGGACTATCTTACACTAATTTTACTAATAATATATACTAATTATTAGGCAAAAAATAATATTAAAAAAGAAAAACACTGGAAACTGTATATATAATAAAACATTTGTATGTTCTAGCTAATAAAAACCAGATGTAAACAAAACTGGATTTTATACGCAGAAATTTAAAAGAAATTACAAAAATAAATTCAACAAATATAAAAATGTAACGTTTTAAAAAAATATTGTTTTAATAATAACAAAATACATAAAGAAAAAATAAAGAGTACAAATATTTTGAATAATAATATTGGAAATAGGAGTGAATATTTAAAGTCAAAATATAAACAACATATTATGTAACAGTTCCAAAATTGAAACTTTTATTAAAACCGGGCTTATGCGCGCAGAGAGCACTCATCCTGTCTGCCCAGCAGATGTGGAAAGTTTAATGAAGAATAATGTAAAAGAAAAAAAGGGAAAATCGTAGAGAACAGACTTTTGCCAAATTTCGGTATATAAATAAGACAGACATTAGTCCATGGAGGTCCGGTCCAGATGAGACCATACTTACCAAGGTTACGCATAGGTCAAACTAGGCTTGCAGGAGGAAAGAGACTGCATCGGTGCCCATTATATACCGAAAGATTAAGCGCCTTGCATATTTTACGCCACATATTTTACAATACAAATAACTAGATGCCTGTAGGATGGGACTACTGACCTATGCGTGGCATTACGGGACACGGCTCGCAGTTTAAATTAGGGCGATAAGAGTTTTTAAATGTATACAGCATGTGTTTGTGTTGTGTATTATGTATTGTGTAATATTAATAATTATTAGCGTGAATGAGGGGATTTTCCCATACCCCTAGGGATATCGAGTAA